TGTAGGGGAGGGGCGGGAGGGAGGTCGGGCAGCGCTATGAAGAGCCCCCTCCCGGGATAGCCAGACGGGTACAAAACGAGGTGTATACTCAGCTTTGGAGGGGTGCGCATACACATGGTGCATTTCTTACAGCGTTCACCAGTTCAAAAATACTAATAAAAAAAGTTTATTTTCTCTGAAAAAGAATTCAACATGCATCTTAACTGCATTAGCAACCAAACTACAGAAACCTAGGAGATGTGAAGGACAAGCATCAAGACAGTAACACCACAGCATGCTCTGGGAATGCTGCCCACAACTGAAGGCAACGACCAAAACGCTGTGGATGTCAGAGGAGGTAACGTACCTGTCACCTATCGATGCTTGTCATCATCTCTCTGTTTCTTGGTATCCCTTTCCCTGCTCCGGTCTCTATCCCTGTCCTTCCTGTCTCGCTCCTTCCTCTCCCTCCCCCTGCTCCTCTCTTCTTTGGAGTCCCTCTCTCTCTCACCTTCACCCCAAGTCCACGACCGCTCCCTTTCTGGCCATCGCTTGTCTCTGCTCCTTTCATGCTCTCGGTCCCTTGTTCTCCAGTCCCTCGTTCCCTCACGAGACCAGTTTCTTTTCTCTGCTGATCCTTCTCCATAGAAATCATTTTTCATGCTTGGCAAATTGATAGGCTTTCGGAAAGGTCTGTCCCGTCCTCCAAACCGTAGCTGTCCAGATTCTTTTTTGCCTCCAAAACCACCTCCAAGCCTCCGAGGAATCCATCCTTTGAGAGTTCTTTCCAGTTCAAAGTCAACAAAGATCTCATGTTGATCAATAACCAGCCTGTTGGCATCTCTGTGGGCCTTCAAGAGAGCACGCTCCTCCTTGTACTCAATAAATGCATAACCCTTGGAAAATCCTGTGACCAGGTCTCGAACCAGACGGATCTTTCTGATGTCTCCGTACCGGGAAAAGACCTCCTTTAATTTCTCTTCTGTTGTCTGAAGATTGAGCCTTGCTACAAACAGGGTGAGGTGAGGATCCCCCGTGACTCCCTTGTTGGGTACGTAGCGTGCCAGCATAGCCCTCCATATGGCACGGTCATGGGGCTCTTCGTCGGTGCCATCAATGCTCCCAGCTTTGAGGGGGTCATACTCCTTCGCTATGGGGGCCCAGTCATTCATCTTCTAGTGGGGAAAAAAACACGCATGACACAGGCTCTGCAGGAAGATCAGGTAGTGCAAGAAGCACTTTCAGCACTGCTGTACAATGTTTTTTATCCAACAGTCCCCCAAATCGTGGCAAACTTAAACCAGCAGCGTGGCCGTTGTCTCGAGTTCATCCCCCACCACAGGGCCGTGCCGGGAAGCCAGGTGACGCCCGGGCCTGAGCGGGCCCCGCG